TTAAGTTAATAATTTAATGAATGTATTGCTTTTTAGATTTTTATATGTGACTATTGATTTCTATCTGCACTTCTATATTTTTATTATTATTCTGATGGCATCTTGTAGGTCAAACAAACGTGCATTAGTTTAAAGAGCTTTAACTCAAGGCTAATTATTATCTGTTAATTTATTTTCTATAATTATTTTTTTTTTCAAATTAAAACTCAATATTGAAAAACTTATTTTCTAAACACTGTCAAACAAGGTAATTAACCATAACAAATAAATAAATTGTACACTGCTTCCAGATCAAGGGTTCAGGTTAAAAGTGCAGGTACTTGGGATTTTTTCTGGAGAAATATTAGAAAGACATACTCAAATAATATTAACCAAAAATTAAAGTTGTACCTGCTCCTAAATTGAAATTTCATGTTTTTTTGTTTTTTTTAATTGGTAATTAATTATGTACCAAAACTTTGTTGTCTATGGCACTACAGATAGTCTAATAAATATCACGAGAATATATTTGTTTATTTTGTAAAATGTCACAATAAAGTCTACCAATATCTAAAAAAAGAAATAAAAAAGAAATAACAATTTTTAATTAGAAAAGTATTATTTGCATTTTGTTACTATAATTATAATAATGGAACACAGTAACAATAGCGCATAGCATAAAGCTATATTAATGTCTCCAGAATAATTAAAAAAGAAAAGATTATAAAAACAACATAATAACACTGGCAAACAACACTACAACTTAATAAGTTATTTTAATAACTAAAATACTTCAAACTAAAAAGATTTTATTTATTACAATATTTGAAAAACCAATGGACAATTATAGTTAAACAATTTAAAGAATTATATCTTGAAATAGCAAGCAAGTCGTGAAATATATCTTGTAAATTGTCATTATCAATTGTAGTATAAAAAAATACGCAAGAGCTTAGTAACTACATAAGTTTTATCAATTCTCGCTGTACTAACTCTCATTTAAGTCTCATCTAAGAGAGAGAGGAAGTGTTTTAAAAGCAATATGTTAAAAAAAGTAAAAAAAGACATGCAATAAATAACAGTAACTGGTTTTATTATGCTACCAATATACAAAATTATTTTTACCATAGCTTACCTTAAGTTAATTTCCAGCATTTCTTAAATAAGTTCCAGCTTCTCTCTAACTGTTGACTAATTTGATTAATATTGTAAATTTCACATCATATTAAATTTACAAATTAAAACCATGTTTCAACAGTAAGCAAAATAATCAAGTGGTGACAAAGGCAACTGAAAAAAAGAAAAAATTATGCTTTAGATTACAAAAAAAATCAAAATCATTGAAATTTTAAACTTTTGATAATTGTTACTTTAATTACTAAAATTCACACTTTGCTTTGTTCTAAAGTGTCTAATGTAAAATCAAATTAATAGACATTAACACCGCTTAACACTGAATTCTGGCAAGTAAGTTCTCTGTTCATCGAACAGAAATTTTTATATTTCAATGATAATTAATTTCATCATCAGATCTATCTCTTTCATTTGACAACAATTTTTTTAAGTAGCCTTTTACCATTTACAGTAATAACCTCTTCGAGTCTAATATTATACATCTGTTATCATTAAACATATTAACAGTGATTATACTACTGTTACAACTGAATAAATGAACGTAAAATAATTTTACAAATTGTGATCTTTTCTAATTAAAGACTATATTTTAAATCAAAATTTATTGATATCCATGTATTTTTTAAGGTTATATATATATAAGTCGTTTATTAAAAATATAAAACAAAATTTATTCACTTTAATAGACATTAACACCGAATTTAACAAAGAACTTAGATTAATTTAACAAAGAATTTAGGCTATAATGCACTAAGTTATTTTTACCTTCAGGCACAATCTTAATGCTCAAATATAATTAATGCTGAATAAAAAATGCAGTATAAAAAAATGAAACAATGCCAGTCTAAAGTAATATATGTATGTATGTAGATATATTCCAATATTCTTTTTTATTTTAAATTCTTTTTTATTTTTTCTTTGAGATATAGTATTTAAATAGTTCTACTGTCTGAAAGTTTTTATTATTTTTAAGCCTTCTATTTAAAAAACAAACAATTAATTTGAAGTGACTAAAAAGCGCTTCAGCTCTTTCCAATTACACTAAAAAATAAAACACATCTTGCTTCACTAAGTTGCCTAGTTCTTCAGAATCTGAAAACAAATAAGTAAAAAACCAAGAACAAACAAACACTTATTTATTGAAACTACTCTATTTAAACAAATTAAATTAAACAGAGAACAATATCAATTTTCTTTGTAAGCTGAAAAAACCCCAAGATTGCACTATTCTTGATGTTATTTCTGATCAAATTGACCAAGCCCTCTCTCTTTATCCATCGGCCAATATCGTTGTTGTTGGTGACTTTAATGCCCATCACACCGATTGGCTTGGCTCTAGTGTCAGTGACTCTGCTGGCGTTAAGGCCCTCAACTTTTGCCTTTCTCAATCTCTAACTCAAATAGTCAACTTTCCAACTCGTTTTCCAGACAACCCTAATCATTTACCTTCTCTACTCGACTTATGTCTTGTTTTGGATCCTAGTCAGTGCTCAATTTCTCCACATTCACCCTTAGGTACTTCTGATCACGGTTTGATCTCTCTAAAACTATTATCAAATTCTTCTACTTCATCAGAATCCCCCTATCATCGTACCACATACAACTTCCTTAAAGCTGACTGGGACTCTTTCCGTGATTTTCTTCGTGATGGCCCGTGGGTAGAAATCTTTCGTCTTCCTGCTGACAAATGTGCTTCTTACATAACTTCGTGGATTCAGGCTGGCATGGAATCTTTTATTCCCTCTCGACGATTCCAGGTCAAGCCTCACTCTTCTCCTTGGTTTTCCTCACATTGCGCTGCAGCAATTTCTAATCGAAACCATTACTTCCATATCTATCAGCAAAACAATTCTCCAGAAAACAGACATCTGTTCACTATCGCCAGAAACCATTGTAAAAAGGTTTTGTCTGACGCCAAAGCTCGCTATTCCCAGGTCATTAAATCTTGTATCTCATCACAAAAACTAGGCTCTCGAGACTTCTGGAGAATCTTTAACAGTATCAATAATAAGGGCAAATCTGTTATTCCTTCTCTCTTGTATGGTTCAGACTTTGTCACCTCACCTAAAGACAAAGCTGAATTGTTTGCTAAGAAATTTTCATCAATATCATCTCTTGATTCCACTAGTTGCGTTTTACCTGACATAGCCGTCAAACAGGTTGATCCCTTGCTTGACATTCGCATCACTTCAGCTTCTGTATCTAAAGTAATTTCCTGCTTAGACTCTTCAACAGCTTGTGGTCCTGACAACATTCCTGTTGTAGTCTTGCAGAGGTGTTCTCCGGAGCTTTCATCCATACTTTCTAAACTATTTAACAAGTGCTTATCAGAGTCTCGTTTTCCATCATGCTGGAAAGCAGCATCTGCTATCCCTATTTTCAAAAATTCCGGAGAGCGATCTGATTCATCTAACTACCGTCCCATTAGTCTTCTTCCTGTCATAAGCAAGGTTTTTGAATCTTTAATCAACAAACACTTATTCTCTCATCTTGAATCAAATAACTTACTTTCTGATCATCAATATGGATTTCGGTCTTCTCGTTCTACAGCTGATGTGCTAACAGTAATAACCGATAGGTTTTACCGTGCATTAGATAGAGGTGGAGAGGTTAAGGCTATCGCACTTGACATTTCTAAAGCTTTTGATAAAGTTTGGCATGCTGGTCTTCTCCATAAGCTTTCTTCTTATGGTGTAGCTGGTAACGTCTTTAAGATTATTGAGTCCTTTCTTTCCAATCGTAGTATAAAAGTTGTCCTCGATGGACAACACTCTTCTTCACATCCTGTAACTTCAGGGGTTCCTCAAGGTTCAATCCTTGGCCCTATACTCTTTTTAATTTACATTAACGATCTTCCAGATATTCTCACATCTAAGGTGGCATTATTCGCTGACGACACTACCATTTACTCTTGTCATGATAAGAAGCCTACACTCTCTGATTGCTTGGAGGGGGTATCTGAGCTTGAAAAGGATCTCACTTCTGCTACAGCATGGGGCTCACAGTGGCTGGTGAACTTTAATTCAGATAAGCTCAATTTTATTCGGCCAATCGTTATCGTAATAATTTAGATCTTCCTATATTTATGAATGGTAATGTACTAGATGAGTCATCTACCATTCATCTTCTAGGATTAACTCTTACTTCTGATCTTTCTTTTAAACCGTATATCAAATCCATTGCAAAATTAGCATCTGCTAAGGTTGCATCTCTTTATCGAGCTCGACACTTTCTTACTCCAGATTCTATTCTCTATCTCTATAAATCTCAAATCGGTCCCTGTATGGAATACTGTTGCCACATCTGGGGCGGATCTTCTAATGATGCTCTTTCTCTTTTAGACAAGGTGCAAAAACGAATTGTAAACATAGTTGGACCTGCTCTGGCAGCCAATCTCCAACCTTTGTCACATCGTTGTAATGTTGCCTCTCTTTCTCTTTTCTACAAATACTATAATGGACACTGCTCGAAAGAGCTAGCGTCCCTTGTGCCATCTACTAAAATTCATTCTCGTGTTACTCGCCATTCAATTAAGTCTCATCCTTTTTCTGTGACTGTTCCTAAGTGCTTCAAAAACTCTTATTCTTCTAGTTTTTTTCCTCGAACATCAGTTCTTTGGAATTCGCTTCCTTCATCTTGCTTTCCTGATTCATATAATTTGAAATCTTTTAAGTCATCAGT